CAGGACAGAGTAGAACTGCCCCACAGGGTTTCCTAGGCTGTCATTTTTACGGAAGCAGATCGCCAGGTCTTTCTCCCTTGGAGTAGCTGGTGAGTTTGAACCACCGACCTTTCAATTTAGCAGCCGAGCACTTTACCACTGCACCACCAGGGTTCCTAAATGCTTCCATAGCACTGTGGATCTCCCATTTACAGCCCACAACGCACAGTGCTTAGATGGTTTATCTGTATTTGCATCAGACTGTATGAGGACAGAGACTGTTTATATTATTTGCAAGGTCTGGCAAACAGTTGTTGTTAGGTGCCACTGAGGGGATTTTCACTCACAGTGACCCCATGTGACAGACTAGAACTGCCCCATAGGGTTTTACAGGCTGGAATCTTTATAGGAGCAGATCACCAGGTCTTTCTCCCACGGAGCCGCCAGGTCAGTTGGTACCACCAACCTTTTGGTTAGCAGCTGAGCGCTTAACCATCACGCCACCAGGGCTCCTTTGGTACACAGCAGATTCTCAAAAACTATTTGTTGAATTGAAACAAAAAGTACTTTAATCAGGAAATCAGAAAAATTACTACAAACACTAATTTCAGGCCTAGAGAAACTTCTTAGTGACAGCGTTAAGAACGAAAAAAAATCTAATGGAAATGTAAATTACTTTTACCTTTCTGGAGGGTAGTCTGGCCCCGCATATGGATCAAAATGTTAAACGCGTATCCTTTGACCTAGTGCTCCCAAGTCTAAGATTATCATATTGTTTTTCATACCAGTGAAGGAAATCTAAATATTTGTCAATAAAAGATACAGAGTAAATAAATTTTGATACAGCCATTTGCTGGAATGTTATACAGCCATTAAAATAATGCAGACTTTGAACGATGTTCAAAATGTACTGTTGAGTGGAAAAAAAAACAAAAAACAAAAAACGCAAGTTTTGGAACAGTGTGTTCGGTGTATAGAATTATTAATCACTTATTACATACATAGATTTATATATGAAATCTGCTTAAACATCTGAAAGGATAGTCAACAAAATATTTGCAGGGTTTTCCCTGGGTTTGTGATTTCCACTAATTTTTAAAATTTTTGTGTTCTTCTCTGATCGTTTAGATATTTTAGGATGTGCCGACAGTTTTTTATAGAAACAAAGATAGCCTTGAAAACAATGGGGGGAGAGAGAGGGGTGGAAAGGAGAGAGGAAGAAGGGAGGGAAGAACAGAAACACCCAAGCACGAAAAGTAGCCAGAAATGGGTGGACTGTGGTTCTGGTGCTTACCTAGGGGGTGAACGAGAAGACTCTGGAGTGGGTCCTTCTGCCCCCCGTGTCTCAGAGTGCTGCGGAGATAAGGGCGGGGGAGTTTGCTGCTTCTGCTCATCTGAAGACCTTAGCCGCACAGCTGAAGCATGGAAGGCACGTGGCGCCAGAGGTGGTCGGCAGCGGGACACTGAAACAGAAAATGGGCTGCTCAGTGAAGGACACTTACCAGAGAAGAACCTTTGAGACCCAGAGTGGTATAAGGATGGGGAGGAGGAAAAGCAGGGCAGAGTCTACTCCAGGACCACTTATCCAACTGTTAAGTTCCCACACAAAAATCTCAGATAAACTGGCAACCCTGAAACACAGTGTGGTGGAAAAAATGGTGAGCGCTTGGCTTCTACGCCTCTTTCTACCATTTATTAGCTGTGTAGTAATGGTCAAACCATTTCACCTCGATATGCGTGATTTTAAAATCTGCAAATAATCTCTGCTTGCTCAGTGGGAGTGTTTGAGGCCCAAACAAAAAATGAAAGTACCTTGGAAATGTTACACATTTATATCCTATGGCAAGAACACTGGACTAGGAATTAGAAGATCTGAGTACTGACTCTCCCACTGCTTACACCTGGATAGGTTCTAATCTCTGTCTGCTTTCTTATCTGCAACATTTGCGACACCCTACTTACTTTATGAAAGGGCTTTCCTGAGCACAGACCAATACTACTTTTTTCTCTCCCACCATTCTACTGTAGAAATTTTCAAACATACAGACAAGTTGAAAGAACTGTGGAATTAACACCTGTATATCTACAACCTAAATGCTACATATCTATCCATCACATCCTTCATCTTATCTTTTAATGTATTTGTTACAGACCTCAGTATTCTTCATCCCTAAACACTTCAGCATGCAGATCATTACCAGAGTTCAGTATTTGTTTATGGTTCTTTTACTGAGGTGGCATTTCTATACAGTGAAATGCACAATTCTTAAGTGTACCATTTTGAGTTCTGACAATGTATACTGAGTATCCTGAACCCCTCTCTAGAGCATTACCATCACCCTAGAAAGTTCTCTCATGCCCCTCCCCAGTCAGTCTCCACCCTACACTGATCTGAATTTTTTCACCCTAGGTTAGTTTTGCCTGTCCTAGAATTTTATGTAAATGCAATCATACGGTATGCACTTTTTTGTGTAAGGCTTCTTTCACTTGATGTATTTTTGAGATTGAGTCCCATATCTATGTAAATCAGTAGATTATTACTTTTTATCACAAGTAGTGGGAGAAAAGACCTGGCGATCTGCTGCCGTAAAGATTACAGCCTAGAAAACCCTATGGGGCAGTTCTACCCTGTCGTATAGGGTAGCTATGAGTCGGAGTTGACTCGACAGCAAACACCAAATATTCCATTAGGTCCCTGGGTGGTACAAATAGTTTGTTCTGGTCTCCTAACCTTGCTCCTTAGAAGCAAGGATGGCAAGACTGTATCTTACATACTTTGGACATGTTGTCAGGAAGGATCAGCCCCTGGAAAAGGACATCATGCTTGGTAAAGCACATGGTCGGTGAAAAAGAGGAAGACCCTCAATGAGATGGACTGACACAGTGGCTGCAACAACGGGCTCAAGCATAACAATGATTGTGAGCATGGCACAGGACCGGGTATTGCTCTGTGGTACACAGGGTCACCATCAGTCAGGGTCACTATGAGTCAGAACCAACTCGACGGCACCTAACAACAACAACAACCTAAAGGTTGGTGGTTCAAACTCACCCAGTGTTGCTGTGGAAGAAAGGCCTAGAGATCTGCTTCCATAAAGATTACAGCCAAGAAAACCCTATGGAGCAGTTCTACTCTGTAACACATGGGGTCACCGTAAGTTGGAACTGACTGGATGGTAATGAGCTTGGTTTGTCTTTTTTTCCTTGAGTATTCCATTAAGAAATACTATTCTTCTTGATGGGCACCTGGTCTGTTTCAGTTTTTGGATATTATGTATAAAGCTACTATGAACCTTCTTGCACAAATGTTTTTTGTGGACATGTGACTTTATTCTCTTGGATAAAGACCTAGGAATGGATTTGCTGGGTTACAGGCATTACTTTTATTAAACGTATTTAGTTTGGAATTTTGTATGAAAACAAAAGGGCACTCATTTTTGAGAATCTATGGAATAACACAGGAAATAATGATTTTGAAAAGGAACACAGAATAGTATGTGTAAAAATATCAGTATTTAAGCATACGTACAATGAAACTATTATTCGTCATGCTTAGTAAAGTTGAGGGTCAGCGAAAAAGAGGAAGACCCTCAACGAGATGGACTGACACAGTGGCTCAACAATGGGCTCAAACATAGCAAGAATTGTGAGGATGGCACAGGACTGGGCAGTGTATCATTCTGTTGTACACAGGGTCGCTATGAGTTGGAACCAACTTGACAGCACCTAACAACAACACATAGAAACTGGAGCAAATATTCATAAAATGTTGAAAAGAAGGGGGGAGGTCCCAAAGTAGGATTGCAGAACGAGTGCTTTTCATGAGAAAGGGAAATATTATTTCATTAGTTACACATTTACGTTAACATGTCAATTATGCATTCTATTTACAGATGATATTGGTTTTCTACTTATGGTAGTGATAAAAAGTCTCTTAAGTAAATGTCTATATTTTCAACACCTCAGACATATAAATAAAAATATATATGTTGTTGTTATGTGCCCTCAGCCAATTCCGACTCATAGGGGCCCTATCTGACAGAATGGAACTGCCCCATGAAGTTTCCCAGGCCGCAGCAGATCACCAGGTCTTTTCTCCAGCGGAACTGCTGGTGGGTTCTAACTGTCGGCCCTTCTGAGCAGGCGAGAGCTTAATCTTTGCACCGCCATGGCTCCTTACTTTATAAACAGTGGCAAAGATAACAAGAAGATAACACAGAATTAGTCACGTGGTGGGAAATGACTGACATTTGAGAAACACTGGACTAGGTTCTCTATGTGGCTGTTCCAGCTTCGTACCTCGAGTGGTCCTGGACAGTAAGTTTGGAGTTAAGAAACTGGGTCAGAGTCTGCTGGTTCTGCAACCAACGAGCTGTGTAACCCCAACAGAGGGCAGGCACTCCCTCTATAAAACGGAGATAACAAGGCCTACTCCGCTGCTCTTGCCTCTGACAGCTAGAGGCTTGGGGCTGAAGCCCCGCTAGGCGACCCCGTGCAGATGCCCTTGACCTCACCTTGCTCGCGGGCCTCCATGGCGACTACTTCGCCCCGTGCACAGCCCGGGTCGGCCTCGCGCCCCCTTCCCGCTCCTCCCCGCTCCCCGTTTTGGCCGCCCCCTCACCGGGCCGACACCGCAGCTGCAGGAGCCTCCAGCCCGCCCGGCCGACCGCCCCACACACCGCCGCCGCCGCCATCTTAGAAGCGGGCAGGCCTCCGCAGCGGCGCTGGCGATGACGTAACAGGTAGCTTCGGGACCGCGGTGCAACCACTTCCGCCCTTCTTGCGCGGCTGGAGCCTCCTGCTGTCGCGAGAGGCGCGAGGCGCGGAGCCGGCGGTTGCGGAGAAACCGGGAGCTAGCTGGGCATCCAGGTGAGCGCGCGGCGCGGTCGCCCGACCTCCCCCAACGGCCGCAGTCAAATTCACCTTCGCCCCCACATCCCCTCATTTCCTATTTCCAGGCCCTTTCCTTGGTGGGAATGTAACCAGGGCCACCCCCCTGAGGGCACTCTCGGGCTTCAGACCGGGAGAAGCCGATGACCGGCCTTGCCAGCCCTGGGCTTCTGACGCCTCGTGTCTCGCCTGGCCTTCCTGGGTCCGAGGCCCCGAAGGCAGCGCGCTGAGGAGGAAGAGCCCTGAGCTGGGGTCCGGGAGACCTGGATCTGAGGCCCAGCTCTGCCAGTAGCAAGGTGTTGTGACCTTAGGCCTCAGACTTCTGAGCTTCTAACATTGGGGGAGCTGAAGTTACGATCTCTGAGGGTTCCTGGTAGCAAAGAACAAAAGCCTGGAGGTGCTTGAACCCCCAGGTTGTAATTTTGAGCCTATGCCTGAACTTCCAAGGTGTTGAGTTGGTATGATTGAGTATTTTCTCAAACTTGCCAAATTGGAAGAACCATTCCAAGATGCTTGCTTGTTATAAAACGATACCCTGGTATACCTGGAGAGTTGATTCAGTATGTCTGGGTACTGTTCAGAATTTTAACAAGTGTCCCAAGTGATCGGTAGGATCTGCAAGTTTGGGAAAGGCTGGAGTCACTTATTCTGACGTTGAGTGCAAAGCTCTGGGTGGCACAGGGAGGTGGTGGCCTAGTCACTAAACAGGAATGTGAATGCACATTGCCTCACTGGGGTAGCATCAAACCAAAACAACCCAAACCCTCGCTGTTGAATCGATTCTGACTCAAAGCAACCCTATAGGATGGAGTAGAACTGCCCCATGCACTTCAGTCAGCTCATTTTAATTAATACTCTCCTTTCTGACAAATAATTGTCAGTATTCTCAGAATTTTTTATGCACCTAACTTAAAAGGATTAGATCCTTTTCTTGAACTGAAGCCCAAACTTGAACCTTATTTTTTTCTTTTGACCACCTTCATCCTTATAAGGGGCCCAGTGCCTCAAGACTGGATGTTTACGGGGTACCTGAAAAATAAACAAGTGTATCTTCAGAAAGTATTGAGGCATCTGCTTTTACGGTCTTCAGTAGCATTTTAGAAGAGTGTGTGTGTGCAGTAGTCAGAGTTGGAGAGGTGCCTAACAAGGCCAGTGACGTGGCAATGCCTCCTTCTACACCACCTCTTTTTAGATGTTAAACCGGGCTCTAAGTCACAGCTTCTAAAAATGTTGACTTAGGTGCCAGACATTTTCTTCTTATCGTTTTTTCAGAAAGAGATTCACAACACCATCACAAAACTCACATGATGAAAAGTATCATACTTTGGCTTTGAGGTACTTAAATGAGCATTGTCTCCCATTTTATTTGGAAGATGCCTACTGAAAGTGGTGGCTCTGTGTGTTCTTTGAGGGTTAATGTTTCATAAATGCATTTTATGAGCTCCTGCTTACCATAAGAATATTACATTTGGGGAATATGCAGCGCAAAGCATTTTAGATTCTTCTAATTTACTGACATAAGCCCACCAGAGTGCTGTCCAAGATGTCGTAAAGTGCAGCTCTTATACTGGATGATGCTAATACTGAAAATGAAGCTTCACATCACTCCCTGGAGAGTCCTCCTTGCAGGCATGGCTGAGGAGGAAGAACAGGTTTTATAAGACTGTTTGGAGCAAAGGCAAATAAACTGACCGCAGAAAAGTGGAGGCCCGGAGTTCTCTTAAGAACATTATTTTATTGAGCTTTATGTGCCAGACCCTGCTGAGTGCTTTACATATTTTTATCTTCTTATTTTCTTGTGACAGCAGCTTTGCAAAATGTGGTATTATCCCTACATTATTGATGAGAAAATAAACTCAGAGAGGTTAATAATTTAGCCATGGTCATATGGAAAATCCAGTGTAGGCAGAACCCCTGTCCATGCGTATTCAAAACCAGTACTCCATAAAATTCTGCCCCATGAATGTTATAGAAAAGGTCTAGACCTCTGGCTTTTTCTCTAGTTAATAAGTAACCTTTGCCCCTTACTTTCTTCATGAGGGTTTTTCTGTGAGTACAAATCCAAGATTGTAGTAGTCAGTGTTGGGCAGGGAGCTTGTCATACCCTTCTGTTGTCCCAAGGGAGAACATGTTCCAGCATCAGTCTAGAAACAGGTCATTTATTTCTTAAAATTTTAATGCCCAGCAATCCATACTCCCGTCTGTGATATTGAGCCCAAGTTACTCACTTTAAAGATTTGCAGTGGCTTTCCCTCAACATTATGCGACAGTTAAAAGCTTAAAAGCTTCAGTTCTTGATTGTGAGCATTTTAGGGATTTAAAAACCAAAATTAAATGACTAAGGAATGCTGCTTGTCTGACAACACTTGGCATCTTTTTCCTGGTGGTTGGCAGTGGTGGCAGGATAACAAAAGTCTGATGTTCCACATGGAAGGAACTAGATAAAAAGCATGATAGAAGGAAAACGTAGTGGTTTTTCATAGACCAAGGAGAGATCTACTTTGGCTGGAACTAAGCTGTGTGAACAGGAGTGGTAGGAGATAGAGGGGGAGCCAGATTATGGAGGGCCAGAATCCAGAAGGCTAAGGAGTTTTGACTCTGCTGTAGCAAAGTAAACCTTTAGTAACTCCTTTAGAAGATGAGTGACAAGGTCAAAGTTCTGTAGTATTTAAGGATTACTCCAGCTAACCTGGACATGTTTTGTAGGCAAAGAGAAGAGACATTTGAATGTGAACATATTTAAAGAAGGAAGAGAGTACTGGACATGGCTTAAATTCAGTTCGAGTGTCTGTACAGGCATAATTATCACTGAGTTAGCCACTTCTGGAGAAATCACAAGTGTTCAGCATAAGACTAATCCATGCCTGACTCCTCTATTGCAACTTCTGTTTTATTTATTTGAGCCCTTTTAAGTCGGAAACTTGATAGCATTAATGTTTAAGAAAGAAGAAGGAAGGAACTGAGTAGAATCCTATCTCCTGACCTCATTTCATTGTGAGCACATTCTGTACTCACCTCAGTATCAAGTGGAAGAGAAAGTTGACCCATGGGGGAGATTTTCCATAGGTTAAAAGCCTGGGCTTTGCATTCGGATGGATTCAAATCCCAGCTCTTAACACTGGTTGTGTAACCTGGGCAAAGTCAACTTCTTCCGTTTCCTGGCTGTAAAATGAGAATAGTATCTAATTTAAAGCTGTTTTGAGGTTCCAGTGCGATAATGTATGTAAAGTGCTTTAAACAATCTGGCTAATAGTAAATGTTAAAGATTAAGGCATAGTAGCTAATACTGATCACTATAGATTCAATAGAATTGAATTTTCACATTTATTTTAATGAAAGAAGAAATAACACGTATTCAGTTTGCTAAATTTAACTGTGTCATCTTTTTAAAAATTAAGCTTGCAGTTGATTTATGTCTGCCAATTTATTTGCCTTCTTTGCTGACTCATATTTTTGCCTAATTAATGTCTTGTTGTTTCATAGTCTGTTCAAGCTGAGTCGTCTCCTAAAACAAAGAGGAAGTAATTTTTCTGTCTCCATCCCCCTTACTTGACTCTAATCTCCTTTTCTTTACTCTGCAAGGTCAGGATCCTCTCTCTGCCTTTTTTTGGGAATGTTGGGATCATAACACCTTGAGGTAATGGGTTCATTTATTCAGACTAAAGAGCCTGAATAGCATCTACAGTAAGATTTTCTAATGTTGTCAGCAGTGTTGGTGGGAGGTCTATATTCGGTTGTAATTCTAATCTTATCTGATAGTACCGAATGGATTGAACTGCACATTTGTCTCTGCTCAATCTTGATTCTCCTTTGGCCAGTAGCTTTTAGGTCCATCAGCACTGCAGGAATGGCAGATTTTGGGATCTCAGCTGGCCAGTGTGTGATCGTGGTCTGGGATAGGTCATCCCCAGTGAAGGCTCTGAAAGATCTTGTGGGTAAGCTTCAAGCATTGACTGGCAGTGAGGGCCGTGTGTCTGTGGAAAACATCAACCAGCTGTTGCAATGTAAGTACCTACCATGTTGTCTTTAGAGGGGTGAGGGGTTTTGATGGGACTGCTGCATTTCTGTATTTCCTGGGTATCTGAGGGTTTGTTTTGAGAGACACATGATAGTAGTGGCCAGTCACCTGTCGTTTTTAATTTGAGATGTCATGGACTTGGGAATGTGGTTGATGATTTGTATAAGTAGTTCTTATTTCTTATTAGCTATTCCACATTTTTAAAAAAAGCTTATGTTCACCAGCTTCCTTTTTTACTTCCTTTCCCTGAGTGTATAAAGGGATATGGAATTAGTAAGACCGAGGGAGAACAGGGCAGCAGATTCATTGGCCCTGTTGCTGGTAATGGTGGTAGAATAGTGTGTGCTGAACAGGTAGGTGTTCATTTTCCCAGGGCTAGGGCTGTGTCCTTTGTGGGGTCTTGGGAGGAATTGGGAGATTGCTTCTGGGGTTCAGGTGATTGCTGAGTCTTCCTGCTTTTCAGCTGCCCACGAAGAATCCAGCTTTGACATTATTTTGTCGGGTGTCATTCCGGGAAGCACCACTCTGCACAGTGCTGAGATTTTGGCTGAGATGGCCCGGATCCTTCGGCCTGGTGGATGTCTTTTTCTGAAAGAGCCAGTAGAGACAGCTGTAGGTAAGAAAATCTGCACTTACAAGACTAGAGTTGGAGAGGGTTCAATCTTTGGATATGTTTGCTATATCTCCCTGAGCAGGGAATAGGATTTGCAGATCAGTATTTCTACAGCAGAACCTTCTCCTTAGGGATAAATTATTGTTAAAATCTGAAGCAACAGCTCAAAAGAAACTGTGATCTTTGCTTGACCCGTTAGGTAGTAAAATAGAAAGAAACTGTGCATCTGAAAATGGCTGGGTCCTTCGACAGCTGCATGGTTGAGCAAACTGTGGTATATCCATACCATGGAAAACTATGCAACAATAAAAAGAAACAAACTTGATACATGCAACAACTTGAATGGATGTTGAGGGAATTATGCCAAGTGAAAAAAACAGTCTCAAAAGGTTACATGCTGTATGATTCCATTCATATAACAGTCTTGAAATAACAAAAGTATAGTGTTAGAGAGCAGATTAGTAGTTGCCAGGGCTTAGAAATGGGAGGGAGGGGGTGTGTGTGGCTTTAAACGGCAGCACGAGGGATCCTTCTGATGGAACACTTCTGCATCTTGATTGTGGTGGTGTTTACACAAATCTACACGTGATCAAATAGTATAGAACTGTATATACACACAAAACTGGTGAAATCTGAATAAGCTCCGTGGACTATACCATTGTCCGTTTCCTAGTCTTCATGTTGTACTATAGTTACACATGATGTTCCCATGGGGAGGAACTGGGCAGAGGGTACACGGGACCTCCCTGAACTTTTTTCTTTGCAACTTCCTGTGAATCTATATTTCAGAACAAAAAGTTTTAAAATAATGGCTGGAAGTCTGGGAATAAGGTAATTATTGATTCATATGAAGCTAATGGTAGGGTCCAAGAAAGAAGAACCTCTTTTTTGCTCAGTGGTGTAGCTGTCAAAGAATCATTCAATTCTGGATTTTCAGCCACCCTATAGGACAGAGTAGAACTGCCCTATAGGGTTTTCAAGGAGCAGCCGGTGGATTCAAACTGCCACCTTTTGGTTAGCAGCCAAGCTCTTAACCACTGCACCACCAGGGCTCCTGTGATATGTATAGCAGACATTAATTAGCATTCTTTGCTGGGAATTTAAACCTTGGGTAACTAAACACAGTGTCTCTTTGTCAGAACTTTACAGAGAGAATACTTGTATTTTGATACACTTTACAGTTTGTAAACCTCTTTTGTAATCGTTACCTAACTCCTGGAGGTATATATACTTCCCGGAAGCAGAGAGTGGTAAGAAACAATAGGAATGGAATTTAACATTTAATAGCATACACTTAAGAGCACTTTAAACAACCAAGAGGGTTGGTCAAATTAAAATACTATCAGTAAAATATATATGCCTTAAATGGAATAGATTATTGTTTTGATCCCTGCTGGTCCAGATAGGATAGAGACTTTATTATTTTTTCTGCTTTGACCTATAAAGCTATTAATTGGCGTTTTCTTCTTGGCAGTCAACAATAGCAAAGTAAAGACAGCATCTAAACTGTGTTCAGCTCTGACTCTTTCTGGTCTTGTGGAAGTAAAAGAGGTATGTTTATAGACAACCTTCTTTGCTGGGAATTTAAAACTTGAGTAGCTAAACGCAGTATCTCTTTGTGAACTGTATGGAGAGAATCGGGGAAGTAACAGCCCTGAAGATGAGAAGATAAGTGTTACTTAGAAATATGAAACAAATTGAGAAATACAACAAATTAAGTAAGATAGAGTGATGCTTCAAAGAATAAAACTTCTGGAAATTGGTCTCCTTTGAAGAGACTCAGCTTGGGCCTATGTAGGTTAGGGAATGTTCTGGTCTCCTCAGTGCTGGTTTAGTGATGGTGACTGCTGAGTTAGGGAGAGCAGCTTCAGACACAGCTCTTTAAATGGGCACAAACCTTAGGCCCAAGTGAAGCACCTAGATCATCCATCATCTTCAGATCTTTGGTGGGAGGCTGGAGTAGGTCAAAGGGGCAAATCCCCTTTCTGACAATTCAGTGGAATATTTAAATTAAAGAGGTATTTCTATTTCTACATTCCTGTCCAATGCTAACATTTTCTTAAATGTGTGAGAGATGATAAGTGTTATACTGTGAGAATGGTTTTGCTTTCTAATTGTGCCAGTGATTTGCTACATAACCTAGGGCCTTAATTTCTTTATGCCTACCTTTTATTTTTTTTCCTTTTATTTTAAGGTTTTCTGTTTTTTATTCTAAAATAAGGAAAACTCGTAAAAATTCAGAAAATACTGAAGAATATAAAGTGACATCTCAGTCCTTGTTCACACTTCCCTCTCCAGAGGAAGCCACCAATGCATTTTTTGATTGTCCGTTCAGACCTTTTTCTATGTATTTATAAGCATGCTTAACAATGACGTAAACACACTTCTTTAAAATGCAAATAAGATGATGTATATATGTTGTTGCGTCACTAGTTTTTTTTCCTGCTTTTAGCTATCTTAGACATTCATCTACCTCAGTATATTTCCCCTCAGCCCTATTGATGCTGTAACAATATTCCATGCTCTGGGTGGACTGTGATTTATTTAACCACTCTGTAATTTTTAGACATAGAGATGGCATGCCGTCCCCCTGCCCCCTTTTTTTGGTACCATTACTGTCTGCTACTTCTTCCCAGGGAACCTAGAAAGCATCTCCCTCTCCCTATAGTTCTCTCCCTTAGGATATAGATCTCTGCTGACTTCATTGTGAGCGTGCGTCCCACTCTGGATGTTGACCCTATGCAGTAGGACCACATCTGATTCATCTTTGTGTAATCGTAATCAGTACATCCTCCACAGTGATTAGCACAGTGAAGTGCCCCTAATAGGCAGGTCTTTGGTTAGTACTTCGATAAAACTTTCCAAAGGGTAGGCTCAAAGTCAACATATGGACAAAAGTTATAATCTAGGGCCCTGATCAGTGAGAAATTGAATGTGAGGTCTAAAGTGATTGACATGTGTTACCTTCAGCTGTTAACATGCCTAATACACAGAAAGGAGGATTTAACATGAGCACAGTAAAACATGATTAATAGGAGGCGTATGGATTGATCCTTTTGATGTCTGGAATTCCAGCTGCAGCGGGAATCCTTAAGCCCTGAGGGGATACAGTCTGTCCAAGAACACCTGGGTTACCAAAGTGATGGCCTGGTCTCTGTCCAGATCACAGGCAAAAAACCAAACTTTGAAGTGGGGTCTTCTAGTCAGCTCAAGTTTTCCATTGCCAAGAAGTCTCCTTCAGGTAAGTCTGCCGCAGGGACATCCTTTCCATTTAGATGGATTTGCAGGGTCATAGTAACAGTTGAGCCAGAGATACAAATGAGGTGGCATTATTTTCAGAGGAATAGTCTTTCCTTAATTCCTATCATTTCTAAATGGAGGAAGGCTTAATGTTCTATTATCTATTATTCAGATCCAAAACGAATAATGCACAGTTATTATCAGATCAGTCCTTCCTCTGCACCAGAGGAGGCTGAGGCTTCCTGACTCTAGCAGAGTCACTTAGTCTAGTTAAAATGAAGTCTCTCCAGGCCCAGGAATGCAACGTTTATCCTCAGCAGACCTCACAGGTGTGGTCATGGTAGACAAGGGTGTCCGGCCCCCTGTGTCCTTTTTTTCTAAGTAAATCAGCTTTTCTGCCCCGGAAATTGCAACCCCCCTCCCCAACTTGCACCGCTCTCATCCTTGCTACTACTATTTTTTAATGCCTGAACTGAGAAAATTGTCCCAACTGTGAGGCATGCAAAAATGTCCAGATATTTACTGGTCCATTCACACTGCACTGTTTTGACCGTCCAGCCTGAATCGTCAAGAAGTCTTTGGGAGCCTAACCTTGGGCAAGAACAGCGGACGTGAGCAGTGTGCTCTATGGAAGGTCTACATTCACAGCTAGGATTGTGATTTGGAGTTCCCTTACCCCAAAAGCCCTGTTTGAGGCTCTGCCCCAGCCTGAATCTGGTTGTCTGCTTCCTCAGGCCCTTCCCTGCATTCTCCTGGCCTACAGGAGGTGTGAGGTTGTGTCTGCCACCAACGTGTGTTCCACTGTCACCATCACCTGTGGAACCCATTTCCTCGTCTCTAACAGGTTTACGTGAGGCTAAAGCTTTGCTATTTATGAAGCCTTTTGACAGAGTTACTCATGTAATCCTCAGAGCACCTGCAAGAGGTTTAGCCCCATGGTACAGGGATGGAAACTAAGATGAGGAGGAGGGAGCAATGTGGAGTGGAGATTAAGAGCATTACTCTGGAGTCAGACTTTTATTTGTGGCCAGTTATTTAAATGCTCTGAACCTGAGTCTTTTTGTCTGTAAAATTAGGATACCAAAAATACACTTACCTCATAATACTCACCTCATAATGTTATTAGCAGGATTAAATTAGATAATGCATGTGCTTAACAAACAATGAGTTCTTTACTGTCATGAAGTGATTAGCCCCAAGGTTCTGCCTTTTGTAAGTAGTAGAGCTGGGCCTCGAGCCCAAGGCTCCCGACTCCCAGTCTGGTACCTTCTCTTTGCACATGGTTTCTCAGTAGACAGCGCTTATAGTTGTATCTGGCTGCTCTCACGGAGCTTTTTCTCTTATCGGCCGGACCCAGTGAAGCCTGCTGTGGACCCTGCCGCTGCCACGCTGTGGACACTCTCCGTCAATGATATGGAGGATGACAGCCTGGTGAGTTGGCACCATGGTCATTTTTTCCAGGCCCTGTTTTGGGTATGAACAACCGTCGTTTGCAGTGGACTCTCTGGACTTGTTAGTGTGGAAGTCATGTCTGTGCCTGTTACCGGTGTCTTGTTTAGGTGACACTCTGCACGGGTGGCATTGTAAATTTCTTTTTAGCATCTCTTTACCCTGCAGAGTTTCTTGTTCTCATTTCATGTGATAGATTAAAGGCTGTTGCGGGCATGTGTGAAGCTGAAAAAGAGTTTACCATGGAGCACGTTTTTATTGGCCCCTTTGTCTGGACAAGTCACTGAAGGCTCACTGTCTCAAGAGCAGCACTTTCCGTCTTTAATCAGGTTCCTCATTTGTACAGCTGTTCAGGTTAGAGTGGTCAGCAAAGTAACTTATGCCTTTAAGTTTACAGACTGTCCACATGCTTATCAGAGAATTACACAAATGCATGTATAATTATTTGCCCTGTTCTCTGAACTTCATAGAAAATACTTGATTCCTTTTTCACATGACAGCCCTTTATGTATTTAAATAAATAGAACCTTTCTTTTTTTCTACTTGTAACTCTCCTCCCCCTACAAACACACACACACATGCATATTCTCTGCACGCTGCTGGCCAGGTCTTACAACTACTCAAGTAAATTGGTTTCATCGTAGTGCATCTTTTGTGGACATAGCTTAGCTCACCATTGGTCTCTTGAGCGTGGTGGTCAGATTGAACAGGCTGATCAACCCAAAGTAGGACAGGACTTAACACAGTGCAGCCTTCCCACTGCACTGATTAATCTGCTGTCACTGCCTGTGATCACTTTAGCTCTTCATTAGCAGAGACCACGACTGTGTCGCTAATTCCTTTGAACACTCTCCAGGATCTCATTGACTCAGATGAGCTGCTGGAGCCAGAAGACTTGAAGAAGCCAGACCCAGCTTCCCTGCGGGCTGCTTCATGTGGAGAGGGGAAAAAGAGGAAGGCTTGTAAGAATTGGTAAGTGTTGGAGGAAGCAGAGTCTGCCATGCTGCTTCCAGTGGCCCCTGGTTCCCAAGTAATCACAGTATTTCACTATTTTTAAAATGTGTGTTTTATTGTGAAATGTATCATGCATACAGAGGAACATACTAAAAGGTCCACTTTAAAGAATAATAAAATGAACACCCGTGTACTGATCACCCAGGTTAAGAAACAGAAACATTACTAGGAGGAGAAGCCACCTGTACATGCTTCCTCACCTGCATCTCCCTTCCTCTCCCCACAAGAGGTGACCACTCTGCAAAGCCTGTGTTAGTCAGTCCCTGGCTTTTTTGCTAGTTGGCCACCTGTGATGAGTCTCCAAACAGCATGCTGTTTAGCTGTGAAGAACTGAGTAGCACGCCTGAACCTGATATGTAAGGAAAGGTCAATGTTCCCATTATTGTGTGGAGGCTCCCAGGAGAAGATGAGCTGAACAGGGCCTTTGGGTCATGGCTTGGTCTCAGCTTCTTTGGGAATTTGCGACAGCCCTGCATTAGCTTCCTGGAGCTGCTATAAGAAACAACCACAAACGTGGTGGCTTCAAACAGCAGAAGTCTGTCCTCTCACAGTCTGGAGGCCAGAAGTCAGAAATGAAGGTGTCGGCAGGGCTACACTCCCTCTGACAGCTCTAGGGGAGGATCCTTCCTTGCCTCTTCCAGCTCCTGGTGACTCCAGGAATTCCTTGGCTTATAATTGCATAACTCCAAAACTCCGTCTTCACATGGATTTCTCTGTGTCTCTGTGTCTTCTGCCTCTTACAAGGACACTTTTCATTATACTTAGGACCCACCCAGGTAATCCAGGGTGATTTCATCTCGAGATCCTTAACTTAATTACATCTGCAAAGGCCCTTTTTCCAAATAAGGTCCCATTCACAGGTTCTGAGATTAGGACATGGTCATACCTTTTTGAGGGGCCACTGTTCAAACCACTACAAGCCTCTTCCAGGGAAGTCAGTAGGAAGAGACATGAGTGAGCTCTAGCAATGAAAGGCAGGCCATAACTAGAGCACCTGGCAGAGCTGGAGCACGATGCAGTTACTGGAAAACCAACAGAAAGACGGTTAGAGGGAGCGGGCTGCTTTCTATTTCCTGCACTAAGCTCACTGGAGCCTACCACTCTCAGGAGTAGATCAAAACAGAACACTTCTTTGGGGGTGAAATGAGTGTCCTCAGCTGACCTGGGCATCAGATGTGGATGAGAGAGATGAATGTTATTAGTGTGTGGTCAAGACAAGCCAGAGACAACCAGGGCTAGTTCACCTGTCCTCAGTTGAAAGGCTGGTACAGTGGCAGCAGGAATTGTGATGGTGGCAGCCTTCAGCATGTCTGTCTCTCGAGTCACATTGCTCCCGTGTGCACACGTGACTCTGTGTCTGGAACAGAGCTGACATCTTGGGATCTCTATACTGTTGCCTGAGGGTTCCTTTCCCTCTGTCTCGTTAGTGTTCCTATTTCCTCTACCCATGTCTTCCTCTTCTCTGATTTTCTCTTGTTTTGGCAGAGCAAATCCTCCAGTAGTTTCTTTAGAAAGCCTACCTGGGAGATAATAAGGGTTTGTTTGTTTGAGATTTTGCCATGTCTGAAAATGCCTTTTTTCTACCCTAATTTGGTTATAGAAATCTAGGTGGGAAATAATTTTTATAGAATTTTGAAAACAATTGTGTTGTCTTCTTTCTTTCAGTGAGTCTTTTGAGATATCTGAGGCCATTCTGTTTCTTGATCTTTCTATAAGACTTTTTTCCGTTTTGGGAGCTTGTGGAGTCTTCTTTATCCTCTGTCATTTTGCAAGAACATGCCTTTGTACTAGGCACTCGATGCGTCTTGTCAATATAGAAAGTCGTGGCCGTAGTCCCGGGAATTTTTCCTTCATTTTGTTTATGATTTCTATCTTCTCTGACACTCAGTTGTTGGTCCTGTTAGATGGTAATCTGTACTTTTTTCCCCATGTTTTCTGTGTTTTCCTTTTGCCCCACTTTCTGGGAGATTCTTCAACTTTATTTTCCAAAATCTCTGTTGAGTTAGTTCATTTCTAGTATCATGTTTTTCATTTCTAGGATTCGTTTTTTTTTTTTTTTTTCTTTTTTTGTTCTTAAATAAAATCCTGCTTTTATTTCATGCGTGTGATAATTTCTTTTTTGTCTTGAAGATAGTGATGGTTCTTTCGAAGTTTTTTTTCTCCTTGCATAGTCTCTGTTTCTTCCAAGTTATTTTTTTCCTTTTGTTTTCATCCCTGACTTCCATGTTAGAAGCTTTCTTAAGATGTCTGGTGGTCCTTGGTTGTCCGCATGATTAAGAGTGGGGGCAAAAAGCTGATTGGGAGCTCAGAGCACTGAGGTAGATTTGTTGAGTGTGCTTTACTGAAGGGGACCTGGGAGGCCTTTGAGAGGGCACCCCAAAGTCAGTATCTTTGGGCCTTTCCCCTTGGATTGGTTAGATTTCTCACAGAGGGTCTCTTAGCCTCATGGTGCTGCCAGTTCCAGTGCCTTGTGAGATTTCAGGGGTGTCATCTGGGCAGGTACTCAGTGTTCCTCACTTTTGGCTTGGAATTTGCTTTCTTACATCTGTGAAGTCAGTTCTCCCTCCTCCACCTGCTTTTCAGTGTCCAACACTATTGCTCTCATCTTCTTCCCAATATTCCCTATCTTTGTGGGTTTATGGGGCCCTGGTGGCACAGTAGTTAAGAGCTTGGCTGCTAACCAAAAGGTTGGCAGTTAGAATCTACCAGCTGCTCCTTGGAAACCCTGTGGGGAAGTTCTCCTTTGTCCTGTAGGGTCACTATGAGTTGCTCCACAGCAGTGGGCTTGTGGGTTTGTCTTTATATAAAAAAAAAAGTCTCTTTACTGGAGTGGTGGCGGGGTTTTGAGGGAGAGTGAAATTAGATGTGTGCATTTGATTTGTCTTTTTAACCTGGAAGCCTCAATGTTACTATTTATATATTAGTTTGATAAAGTGGATGGAAGGGGTGGTAAAAAGTTTAAATGGTGGCCTGCAGGCTTATTTAATTATCAGAGTGGTTGTTGGTTTTATGTGAAAGTTGCCAGCATTTATAAATCAACGAATTTCAAGTAAAAATCCAGATTTTTTTTTTTTCTTTCTTCTATTAAATTTGGGAAATACGGCCACAATGGGTCTGCTTTTCCCCATGACACTGACCAGCTAGAGCCTAGTAGTGGTGCCCTCTTTAGACAGGGCAAGTGCCCTCTACTCTCCCCATTTCCACCACTCTTGCTGTCTCCCAAACAGCCTCGCTCATGTCCATTGTCCGCCTGGCCCTGTGAGCATTTATGTGGGTTATGACACCCCGTCTAAAGAGGTGACACCCAGTCTTAGAGCGTGCTTGGGCGCCATCAGGGATTTGGAGTTTCTGGGTGGTGGCCCATCTCATCAGCTGCTGATTTTCCCCCAGCACATGTGGCCTTGCAGAAGAACTGGAAAAAGAGAAGTCAAAGGAACAGAAGAGTTCCCAACCCAAGTCGGCTTGTGGAAACGTAAATATCTGTGTAATTACTCAGCGTTCACAAAACCCCCAGTGGTATTGGGTGTCATCCTAAGCTAAGCTCTAAGCAGCTTCCTGTCCAGATGTTTTAATAATAGGCAAATGTGTGAGAACCTGTGTGTAGATCATAATGACATTATCTCCTGATAGTTGGGGTGAGAGGATTTTCTTGTCTTTTCTTATTTTGGGTCCTTTTTGTTCTACTTCCTAGTGAGGCCTGATGTTACTCAGCCTTTTGGCTGTAGTGTGGCTGTAATTGGAATTGTTTAGAATATGGAACTATGACATCCTAAGGATCTTCTCTTGACTATTGTTTTTAGTGAAACAAGAGATCTTGAAAACTTGATATTTGGACCTAGAAAGACACACAGCACCTTTCCTTCAGGGCACTGTGGCCACATTATGAAATGAGGACTTCCTTCTTCTGGCCTGTATCTCTGGGGTACGCTGACACTTGGCTTCCCTGAGCTATTGTGTCTTCTTTCTCCACAGTGCTATCTGGGAGATGCTTTCCGCTGTGCCAGCTGCCCCTACCTTGGGATGCCGGCCTTCAAACCTGGGGAGAAGGTGCTTCTAAGCAACAGCAATCTTCACGACGCCTAGGAAGGACCCAACACGGACATACCTGTTCCTCCAGCCAATTCCTGTCCCTCAAATCCCACCGCTGTGGCTCCTCCCACCTGCTCTGGGTTTGCTTACTCTGTTTGAAACCCAGTTGTGGGGAGGGTTCTTAGCAGACAGAGTGAAACTGGGTGTAGGGGTGCAGTGGTATGTAGTGCTGCTATATATGAAAATACCAAGGTATAGTGGGGCCTGGTTACCCTGAGTGTGGGGGCCTGTTTCTTCACCTAATATTAGGGGGAGGGGAGTGTGCCCTGAGAGGCCCCTCTCCTGGTATTAAATTACTGACCATAATAACTCTTGGGCCCAGACATTCTTGAGTATTAATGCTCTGGACAAAGCTCTCACCCTGGCTGTATTCTAAGCTCAGCACTGGTGCTGCCTGTCTTCTGGAGTTGGTGGTTTACTCGCTGTGCAGTTCGTGGTCATGTGAGTCAAGTGTCTGATGACCTCACACCAAAGGAATTGCTCATTGGTTGCTGTGATTTTACCAAGTGTCCCTCTGCCCCTTCCACTCCCACTCCACCCCCGTCTTTTCGTAGCATTGCATCTGTGTCCTGCAGTCATTTCTGTTCACTGCAAGTATTAAACTTGTGTACTTCCACGTATCAGTTGTGAGGCAGGGTGTGTCTTTGAGATGTCTGACAGCCATCCACACTCACCCTGAATCACAAAACTTTCTTTTTTGGAGGGACTCAGTGTTGCACACAAATGGCCAGTCCCCCACTTAGGAAATAGGGCCTCTCTCCATGTACTTCATAGGAGTCCGGGAGATGAGGGTTAGAAGGAAGCAGGACAGAACACTGAACCAACCGGAAGTCTGACCAGGAGTCCCCTTCGTTTTCTTTGTTACCCACCTGCCCGGACTTGGAATCAATCTCGCCAAATATTTGGAGAGATTGTGTGGATTTGCAACCTGGATGTTTATATTTTACCAATAAATAAAACAGTTGATTGGTATCTGTCCTTGAAACTTGGTTTGATCCTCTGTTTGCTTTTGCTTCTCCTGGTCCGTGCTGTAGGATTTTAGTTATGAGTGTGGCTTAGTTCTAGTTGCACACTAAAGCCCCGTGATGGGCCGAGTTCTAAGGTGACCCCACTGACCCATGCTCATGAGTTTGAGTAGGACCTGTGAATATGATGGCTAGCACTGCTGTGACTTGGGTTATGTTGTATAAGTGAAGATATCTTGCAGATACAATGAAATTCCCTGATTAATTGACAAAGAGCCCTGGTGGTGCAGCTGCTAACCCAAAGCTCCATGGTTCGAACCCAACAGCCACGCTGCGAGAGAAAGATGTGGCAGGCTGCTTCGGTAAAGATTTACAGCCTGGGAAACCCTATAGGGCAGTTCTGCTGTCCTACAGGGTTGCTAAGAGCTTTAGTTTAGGACTTCAGCGCCATCTGGTGGGCAATCGGAGAGGAACCCAGTTCTGCTTTTCATTTCTTAAGACGAGCTGTGCTTAAAGCCCCTTTAAGGCGCTGCTCCTCTGGAGTTTCTCTCTTCCCACTAGTGCCCCTCGTGGAATTCACCTGGGTGCTTGTTGATGAAAATGTATAAATCAAATGTCTACAATGCACGAAGCATCCCCACCCCTTATAAGTCAGGTACTGAGTTGCCTGACCCAAATACCTGCCCCAATGAGTTTACAGGCGAGTCAGACACTTAAGCAGCTACAATTATAGGGGCCAGGTGTGGTAAAGAGCAAACGGAGGTGAGAGCAGGGAGCCGGCCGGCCGCCGAAGACAGAGCAAGTGACTAAATGCAGCCAAGGAGACATGGGAGGATCTGTGTGGGAAGTGGTATTTGAACTGGGCTCTGGGGGGAACTAGATTTCAGAGGTAGAGGAGGGGAAGCACCTTCCAGGTGGAAGGAACAATGCACAGGTTCTTCTTTCTTCCTTTCTGCTTGTAATCAGGGAGAATCTCCAAGTTACGATCCCTTAAAATGTCCGCTTCCCAGGAGAACACAGTGGCTGGTCGCATCTCCTGTATCTTGTCCCACCCACCTTGCATCCTTGATCCTGCTACTAAACACAGGTTTCATTCTGGATCCATCTCTTCCCTGCTGAGGGACCTTTAAGCAACCCCTCTGTTTTCTTACTGTCAGGAGCTCTGGGCAACTCCTCACCTCCTCACAGTCCTTGAAGCAGCTGTATATACCTCAGTTTACAGTATGAGATGCTGAGTTAAATTTCACTAGGAAAAAAAAAATGTTCTGCTTTTAAGAAAAATTTACAATGCAGTGGATTAAATGTACTCTGAGTATCCTTCAGCCCTGACCTGCAGGGCGCAGCGGTCCAGGCACCAGACATTGCTCTCCTTTGCTATCTAAGGGGCTCCTTTTGGCTTCCCCCCTCTTTTGAGACCAACCTTCTCCCACCCCGTGGATCCAGAAGATATTTTTCCAGAGTTCAGACTGGGTTGCCTCCAGCCCACAACCCTGGATCAAGGATACTCCTCTACACCAGGACATGGAAGAGCCACCTGGGCCGAGAGACCCTGGGGTCACAGAGAAGCCCGTTCATCACCATTACCAGTCTCAGTATTATTGTTCTTGTTTTTCTCTTGTCCCCACTGGAAAGTGGGCTTGAGCTTTGTCATCTGCCTTGCAGTGAGATAACTGGCCACCAGGGGGCAGCAGGAGGCAAAGGCCTTGACTCAAAATAACTCTCCTAACTGCAGGCCCCCGGCCATCAATACAGGCCACAAAATCCTAGAAAGAGAAGGACCAAGAGAAGGACCTAGACCACACCCCAGAGAGAGAAGCCACGTGGGTGGCTGGGAGAGTGAGACAGAACTAGAATCTAAAGACCCTAACAATTTTCCCCACTGCCCTGAGCTGGGCCTGCGGGTCCAGAACCTCCCTGTCCCTGTCATTTTAAGCACATGGCATGAGGGGCTCCCAAAGGCTTCAGGTCCCGTCCCAGCCTCAGGGAGCTCCCAATCTGATGGAGGAGTCAGGACTGGCAGACACACACAGGAAACCATGAGAAAACAACCCCATCATGGGCAGACTACTCTGCACTCCCTCCCAGCAAGTTAAGTGGAGGAAATCAGAGAAGGAGAGAGAAGCAGTGTGGGCAGCTGTTCTCGGGGAGGCTGGGCTTGGGCTAAGGTGGGTGGGATGTCAGAGCTGGGAGGGGGTGGGGGCCACAGTTCAGGTCAGTAGGAACAATGGGACCTGAGGGAACCAGCCTGATGGGGGTGCTAGATGAGGGCTGGGGAACAGAGGGAGACAAAGCTGGGCAGGAGGGAGGCTTGGATCCCAAAGGTAGGCACCAGGACCCAGCAGAGCTGGTTCAGATCCCAGGAGGTGTTTTGGTTGGGGGAGGGAGCCAGGGCACCTGTAGAGCCAACCTTCACCAAGATTTTCTGGGGGCTGTGGGACTGCAGTGTGTATTGGAGGACTGAGAAATGGGGGGAAGTCTAGAGGGGGCTGCAGGAGCACCCCCCTCCCCCAGCACTTGGTGGGGCCCTGTCCTGTGGAAGGGCCCTGGAAACCTTTGTGGATTAAATCACATGTGTGAGGGGAAGTGTGTCCTCAGCTCCACATCAGGCTAGGGGATTACAGACAAGAATGGAGGGGCAGTAAGGTGGGGGGACAGAGTGGGGACTTCAGAGGCAGAGGAGATGGGAGAGAATTTCCCAGAATCCCCACCTGCAGGCACGTGGCAGAAGGGGAGAGAGGGCAGCCAGGCCAAGAAGGGTGGAAGGAGTGGAGGGTCCACTTCTGCCCTGCTCTGTCCCTCAGTTCCTCCCCTGCCAGGCCTCTCACCAGGGCCTCCCCTCATTAAGTATGGCCTGCAGCAGCCAGGACCTACCCCGTTTAAGCCTCTGTTTCCCCATCTGATCTGGGCAGGGCAGGACCAGATATTCTCTGAGGGCCCTTCCAGTATGACAGGCCAGGGTAGGAGGGCGTGGGAACAGAACACGCTGACCCAGACTGAGGGAAAGAAACTTTAATCTGGGCACTTTAATGTCCACGGCTCTGGTTTAGAAAGGGGAAGAGGTCTCCATCACTGTGGCTCCTCTTTGTCCTTGTAAAGCCTCCACTGGTCCAGGCAGCTCAGGAGGGAGGGGGGTAGTAGTGAACCCCGAGGCTGAACGTCTCCAAGTGGTCCCGGCAGAAAGTCAGGAATCCTGGGTGGCGGGGCTGCGTGACTTCCTGAGATTTTTCAAGTGTCTAACTGCCTTCTTCACTCTCGTGTCCTTGGGGTCTGAACATATGGCCCTGCCCTGGACAGTCAGAAACCTGTGTGAAGAGAGAAGACCGTCAGAGCGAAAAGGGCCTTACAGACAGGGCCCTGGGGCCAGCCCCTGCCCCGCTGGGACCAGGAGCCCAAGGCCACACAGGGTATCCGTGGCAGATCTGGGACATCACGCACTCTCCTCAGTGATTCTTGGCTCTCCCAGGTCCCTGCCTCTGTCCTGGCCCTTGTAGGGAGCCAGGGCTGCCTGCCGGGTATCCTTGCCCACCTCAGACCTCCCAGGCCCAGACCACCCAGAGACGGAACTGGCAGTACACAGGAGGGCCTGGCGCCCTGAGCATCCTCTGACCAGGCCCAGGCCCAGGCCCAAGGGAAGTGACTGAGTCAGTGACTGGCTGTGTGACTTGGGGATGGCCCATCACCCTGGGGCCTAGTTTCAGTATAAATCAATGAAGAGGCTGGGCCTCATGGCCTGGGGCCTTTTCAGGTCTCAGTGTGTGGCGCAGGAACTGGCCAGAGGAGCAGGGCAGGTGTGGTCACTGGGGAGAAGGACCCAGCTCTTCCCTCTCCTCAGTGGCCCTTCCGGGAACCCCAGTGTCGGGCTTCTGGGGGCTGAGCACCAGAGGAGGCAGACCGGCGGGGAGACTTACACGACAGCATCCCGGGGACACTCCTCTGAGGTCTTGTACCACGACATCAGCTTTTTGAAGGGAATGGCTCCTTTGAAGTAGTTAAGACAACACTCGCGCCCCACATTGGGCCCCCGAGCTAGACAGAAAGGAAGCAGTGTAGGCGAGTCTGTGGGTGTCTGCGTGGATGCACGCAGGGGGTCTGTGGGTATGTGGCGAGGAGATCTTTGTGTGTGTCCCTGTGTGTGTCTGCGTGTGCAAATCTGTGTACTTATCTGTGAGTGTATGTATGTTATTGGGGAGGGGGTCTATGTGTGTATCTGTGGGAGGGGTGTGTGTGTGCGTGTGCACGTCTGCATGTGTGTGTGTGCTGTTGGAGGGTCTGTGATATGTGTGGGGTCTGTGAGTGCGTGCTTCTGTGTGAGAAGTCGGGGGATATGAATATTTACCATCGTGCATCTGTGTGTCAATGCGTGCACGTGTGTGAGATGTCTGTGTGTGCCATGAGGGGTCGTGTGTGTTTGAGTTTGTCAATAGGTGTGTATCTGTGTGTGCGTGGTGGGTTTGTCTGTGTGTCTAGGTGTGTGTGTGTGTGTGTGTGTGTGTGTGTGTATGTGTGAGCTCAAGCACACACTCAAATAACAGCCCTGGATCACAAAGCATTTACTCTGTGCCAGGCTCTGGGCTGGGCCTTTACCTGCAGCAGGTCATTCAGTCCTCACAGCACACCTGGAGACAGGTACTGTCACTACCCATTTTACAGACGATAAAATGGAGGCCCCTCATCTTTGCACAGTAAAAAATCCCCAACCCTTGGAAACAGGCACACTCATGAGATGTGGCTTTATTTAATATTGCAGTAGAGTGTTTTCTAAAAAGCCCCCTGACTGTCCTCTGACCCTTCTAGGGGGTGCAACTTGCTTTGACTAACTCTACAGCCCTGTGAAGTTAGAGCAAACGTGCAGCAAACTCTTAGGGGCTGACCATCTTATTTGCCTGGCTGGGAAGAGAACCCTAAAGATTACAGTTTTGTTGACACGTAGGGCACTAACCGGCATTGCTCCTAAAGTAGCAATTCTGTCTCAGCTTTGCTTCTGCCATAGAATATAAAATTCGCTTTTTTTCACATGCCCTGCGAACCAGCCCGACTGTCTTTATGCTGATTCCCTCATTATACAGAAAATTCATTGATAAATAGATGCAAACAAATAATTGTAAGACATGTTCATTTCCACTGTAAAACCGGGACCACCGTCCCTGCCTCACACCATTGCAGGATGAGGCGTGCCCGTAGGCTGTTGCTCACCAAGCCGCCCCCGGGGTGCTGCAGGCATCGCTACTATCATTTTCCTTGGCATTGCTTCTCTCAAAATCCTACTGCTGCTGGCCTCTCCAAATCCCTTGCTGGAATAGGTGGGATGTAAATGATACATCAGTATGTGTGCGTTGCTGCTGTGGTCTCTGTGTCCTGCCCCCTGTCCCCACCCTGGTGCTTCTCATCCATGCTGTCACCTGCCTGGGTGTGCTGCAGAGAAGCCCCCAGGAGCAGGGCAGCCAGGAGCAGCATCTTCATGGCGGTGATGGTGCTGAAGGCCCAGGAGAGAGGGTGTCTAGGTTTTGCTTCCTTCTGTTCCAGGGACACAAGGATGAGAGAGCATGGAGGGGACCTATTTAACCTCTTTGGGGGGTCTTGCTCCGCCTCCCGTTCTCTCCCCCATATCCTTCCCTAGACCAGTACAGTTCGAAGAATTGGAAATAATTCTGCAGAAGTCCAGTCTTGGAATGTTTGCGGCTTTGCTGAGAATGGGACATGCTGGGGACAGAGGTGGGGTACATATGTCCGGGGGCCCAGATGGTGACACACTTCTCCTTTCAGAGAGGACATTTCTTGGTTCCTCTATTAGCAGAACAGAGAAACCTCCATCGTAAAGTGGGTCATCTCTCTCTGAGGCTGGTGAGCTTCCATCATGCATGCTGCCCTGAAAGGGGGAAAGATGAGAGAGGGCAACCCTGGCAGGGGCTGCACAGGGCTGCTCATCATGGACCATGGATAAGCCTCAAGGTGCTAGGAGCACCCGGTGGTGTCAGCAGATGGCCGCGTGTGAGCTCACGGGCACCTCTCTGCTGGGAGGTCCACAGCTTCATCTGAGTCTGAAAAAGGCCTGAGGCCCAGAAAAGGCCCAGAGCAACTTTGGTTGTGTGGCCTCCCCCAGACTGGGCCCTCAGCCACAGAAGGCCAGAGTCATTGGGACTTCAGTCACAATTCAGTTCAGGTTTCCACTTCTATAGAGTGGGAGGAATCCCTGGGTGGCACAAATGGTTTGGGCTCAGCTGCTTTTCCTTGGCAGCTGGAGTCTACCCAGAGGTGCCTCAGAAGAAAGCCCTGGCAGTCTGCTTCCAAAAATCAGCCACTGAAAACCCTTCAAAGCACAGTTCTACTCTGATATACGTGGGGTTGCCATGAGTTGGAATCAACTCAATGGCAACTGATTTATAGGGTGGGGAACCAAATTTTCCCAATAGCGAATCTTGCTCCAGGTTGCAGAACAGAATGGAAGGATCGGGGAGAGACAGAGGCCTATCATTTCCATCAGAGCCACATCCTGAAGTCTGCATGGTACACCTGGTCAGTGTCATATCTGAGCCTGACTCTGAGCAGAGCAGCCTTTATGTTAACGCTGTGCAGGGCTTCCTGCCCAGTCCCAGGCCAGTCCCCTGGCCACTAGAGAAAATGACTAGTTGTCTGCTTAGGGCTCCCTCAGGCCCAGAGCACAATGTCCCTTAAATAATAGGAGAGTTCCCTGCCAGCTTCCAGGTGGATGCCCCCTGAGTGACCAGGGGCAGCTCAGAATGACAGCCCTTCTTCCTCTCCCCCTACATGGTGTCAGATGCTCTCACAGTCAGCTCTGCTTTAATCACTGACTCATTACTACATTCTCATTAAGTGATGATAACACTGTCGAAGCTGACTGTGCCAGGAGCTGTGCTCAGAGTGTCACCTCCCTCTGTCCCCACAGGGAGCTTGTGAGAGGGGACACTGGAGTAGACCATGGTAGGATAGACCATGGGAGGAGAGACCATGGGAGGATAGTCTATGGGAGGAGAGACCATGGGAAGAGAGACCATGGGAGAGAGACCATGGAAAGATAGATCGTGGGAGGATAGACCATAGGAGGAGAGACCATGGGAGGATAGTCTATGGGAGGAGAGACCATGGGAGAAGAGATCATGGAAGGATAGACCATGGGAGGAGAGATCACGGGAGGATGGACCATGGGAGGAGAGACAATGGGAGGATAGTCCATGGGAGAGAGACCATGGGAAGATGGATCGTGGGAGGATAGACCATAGGAAGAGAGACCATGGGAGGATAGTCCATGACAGGAGAGACCATGGGAAGATAGATCATAGTAGGATAGTCTATGGGAGGAGAGACCATGGGAGGATAGACCATGGGAAGAGAGACCATGGGAGGATAGATCATGGAAGAATAGTCCATGGGAGGATAGTCCATGTGAGGAGAGATCATGGGAGGAGAGACCATGGGAGGAGAGACAATGGAAGGATAGTCCATGGGAGGAGAGACCACAGGAGGATAGACCATGGAGGATAGATCATGGGAGGTTAGACCATGGAAGGAGAGACCATGAGAGGGAAAGGCTGAGTCTCCTGCACCCTCGCAGGGCCCTTTGGGAGGCTGGGGGCTGATTCAGGTCCTGGGCAGTGGGGCCTTTTCCCTGCCTGAAGCAGAACCTCCTGTCATGGGAGCCTCTGCCACCGCCTTTGTGGCCTTGGGCAGCTCACAGACTCTCTCTGGGCCTTGGTTTCATCACCATAGAGGAAAGCTTGGACTGTCCCCGGTGGGCCTGTTAAGATTGTAGATCTGAGAGACATGGGATTCTCCCTTGGATCAGCCTCACATCGGCATTTCTGTGAGTCTCTTGGGGTCACATCACTTGCCGGAGACCTTGAACTCTGCCTCTTCTCAAGCCACAGCCCTGTCTGGCCAGGCAGTTCCTCCTGTCCTAGACCGGCTGCCTTCCTGTGCATATCCATGGTGCCATTTTCCTGCAGAACGAGGGCAACCTGCACCCCTCAGAGGAGCACCCCAACAGAGTCCTGTTCCTACCAAGTCACAGGAGGCTGGGCTGGGCTGGGGAAGTGGGATGGGTGCCCTCTAGCCCTTTTGGCCTGGGGCCCAGAGGAAATGCCTCAGAGGCACTGTCTGAGGGCTGAGGGAGGACCTGTTCCCAGAGGAGGCAGGAAGGCACTTGCCTCTGCTGGCACTTGTCTCCTGGGGGGACAGGGCATGGTCTCTTGACCCTCCTCATGCTCAGTGCCCTCTGCCCAGTGGATCCCTTGTGGCTTCTTCACTTGCCACGAAGGCCACCGGATGCTTCTGGTGCCAGACACCTGCCAGGACCATTAGGGTGATGATTAGCGACTTTATTAACCGTGAGGCCCCAGCCCTCACTGCTGGGGAAACTCCCTGGGTATGTTTTGATTCCCCTTTTTTCTGCTACAGACTCAGAACTTTTCTCCAGAAGGACCCAAATTCCCCTGCTCATTGGGAATGTGTCAGGACAGCAGGAGCGGAAGGTTCTGGACTAGCCCTGGGCTGGTGTGGGCTGCCTAGCAGGGGAGGGGGAGCAGAGCAGCCACGGTGCCAGCGAGTACCTGCATGTACTCAGAGCTGGGCCAGGGCCGAGAGGCGGGCAGACCAGACACAGCCCCTGCCCTGGGGTGGTTCACAGCAGGGTGTGAGAGCAAGGCCTGGCCCCACAGAAGAACATACAGGTGAGATAAAGGGCCTTGGACCCCAGGGTGAGGAGAGGTTGCCTCTGACCAGGAGATCTGGGAAGTCTGCATGGAGGAGGGGGCCAGTGAGCTGGGCCTTGTAGGTGCGAGGATTATACCGAGAGAAGGAGGAAAGGGCATTTCTCTTGGAGGAACCACTTAGTCAAAGGTGCAGAGGAGGGAAAGTGCAGAGAGAAATTGGGGGAATAGCACGAAACTCTGGTGGTGTACAATACCTGGATGCATCGCTCAAGACACAGTAAACCCAAGGGGGTGGGGACGTGTCTGCTGCCCCCACCACTCTGTCCCAGCACCAAGCACCGTGCCTGGCTCCTAGTGGGATTTCAGCGAGCTTGATGGAGTGATCCCAAAGAGGTGAGATGGAGCGGGATCCTGGGGAGCAAACGTAACGGGGCCTTAACTGAAAGGCAGCAGAGAACAGGGAAATTTTTTTTTTTTATTGTAGTTTAGGTGAAGGTTTACAGAACAAATAGTTTCTCATTAAACAGTCAGTACACATACCGTTTTATGACATTGGTTAACAACCCCATGACATGTCAACCCTCTCCCTTCTCAACCTTTTTTTTTTCTTTTTTGTGAAAATATACATAGCCAAAGATACACCGTTTCAAAAATTTCTACATGCACAATTCAGTGACATCAGTTATGTTCTTCCAGTTGTGCTGCTATTCTCACTTTAGATGAAGGTTTACAGAACAAAATAGTTTCTCATTAAACAGTGAGTACAGATGTTGCCCTATGACAATGGTTAACAACCCCACTACATGTCAACACTGTCCTTACTCAGCCTTGGGTTCCCTATCACCAGCTTTCCTGTCCCCTTCTGCCTTCTAGTCTTTGTCCCTGGACTGCTGTGCCTCATTAGTCCCGTTTTGTTTTATGGGGCTCTCCAATCCCCGGCTGAACGGTGAACCTTGAAAGTGACTTCACCACTGAGCTAAAAGGGTGTCTGGGGGCCATACTTTCGGGGTTTCTCCAGTCTCTTTCAGGCCAGTAAATCTGGTCTTTTTTTGATGTGTTAGAATTTTGTTCTACATCCTTCTCCAGCTCTGTCCAGAACCCTCTGTTGTGATCAGAACGGGGAAATTTTGATGTGATTTTCTCGCAAGGGATTGACCAGAGTTATTCCTCCTTGGTTCTCCCAACTGTGAATCAGATTCCAAGGGACCTTCCAGATCTAATGTTCTGGGGTCTGGGCCTGGGATAAGGCCTTGAGGACCCTGGGACCGGGAGCCCCATCAGGGGAATTAGGACACTTCCTGGAGCAGACGACAGTGAGACAGGGCCTTGTCAGGGGGCCGGGGGGAGGGGTGTTCTGCTGAAGGGAGGGCAAGGGAAGCAGGCCACACTCAGTCTATCAGGAGAACAAGGTAAAGAGAACAGGGAGCGAGCGATAGTGACTCCCTATCTCAACACCCCGACTAAAGCCGGCTAGACACACCGCCATCTTGCACCTGCCCCAGCACCTGTGATGGCTCCTACTCAGAGTCCCCTGGGGGTAAAACTGGCTGGAGGAGTCAAACCCTGTGCTTTGGCCTGAAGGGACTAGGCCAGTGAGACTCTGGAGCTTTCACTCTGAGAGGGAGAAAGGGAGAGAGGCAGGGAGGGTATCTGTCCCAAACCTAGGCTCTGCCACATTGAGCTTGTTCCCACAGGCTGGGGCCGAACCAGGGATGCTGCTCAGTCACGGCCCCAGGATCCCAGCCCCAAGCTGACAGGTCGCTGGGGTGGAAGCTTTTCATCATCTTTAGATTGCAC